GGGGGGGGGGGGGGGGGGGGGGGGGGGGGGGGGGGGGGGGGGGGGGGGATAGTTGCGTAAATCAATATTTACAGTTCTCATGAATTAGAGAATAATGATATCTATTTAAAAATAATTACCAGGAAGTATTCAAAGATGGGCTGCAAAAGAGGGCATAAAACAGGCTGAGGAGGACAGAGGAGAGAGCTCTGCTTCAGGGGGCAGGGTTGGGAAGGCTTGCAGACCAGACGGAGGGGGACTCAGACAAACCTTCACAGGCAAACTCATGTTCTCTTTTGGGAGGGGGCCTTGAAAGGGTTTCTGAATGCCTGGTAGGAAGAGGAAAAGGCATGCCAAAGAAGAAACTGAAGGCCAGAGACATAACCAGGGGCAAGTACTTCCAAATTTTGCCTAGGTTCTGCAATGGAATGAGCAAATGGGGGTAGGATTGTTTGGAACATTGGAAATAAAACTGAAGCACAAGTCGACAAAGCAAGTGAGGAAAACAGAAGCACAGGCAAACCAGCAAGAGAGACTTCATAAGTAAAAAGAACTGGAAAGCGTTTGAGCAGAGATGCTGTTTCCCGATGCAGCCCAGAAACTTCTGGGAAAGGTTGATGGTGCCTTGCATATAATTGGGGACAATGCCGGCATGCCTGGGACCTTTCTAACAATTGAAAAAGGTGTTCTCTCCAGACAGACACATTATTAACAGGGGCCCCTCTGGGCGCATGAACTTGAAAATGCCACCCCTGCCTCCCTGCTCACCCAGGGCACCGGGAAATGGAATAGACTGCATTTTTACCATTCCCTCAAAGGAAGCAGGCTCTCCATCAGCGTCAATGTCCCCCAGGTGTCCAAGCAATGCCTCCCATCCAGGGTGACTGCTCGGGCTCTAATAGGTTCCATTCGCTTCTGGGTTAACAGTAGCTGGAAGAAGAAAGTAGGCTTCAGGCCTTTGTAGTGACAGAGGATCAGTACTCTTGTACTTGGGGAGACCTTTCTGAGGGTTCCCTTGGGTTGCAGATTAAAGGCAGTCTAAGAAGTGAGGACTGCTCCAGATAAGGGGCCCCAGGTGCATTGTGCAGTCAGGTCTTTGATTTCTAAGGCACTGTGCTGCTCTCAGAATCTGTGGGTGGAGCAGATCCACGCCAGACTCAATCCCAGTACAGAAACCTGTTGCAAACAGAGAGGAAGCCTGAAAGTGGATTTCACCAATGAATATTTATAGGACAACTGTTTTTATCACCTTGCATTGGGACGCTTTACTACTTACAACATAATTTTATATTTCCCTTACAATCTGTCCTTCATGGCAGCAACCATGGAAATATAGGCAGGAACTATTATCACATTTGCAGATGAAGACGGTGGATTTCAGAGAAATTGACTTACCTAAGGTTATATGATAAGAAACCCTGGCAAAACAAGGGCTGGAGGCTGGTTCTTAGGACAGGGTTCTTTCCACCATTCCAGAAAGTTCTGTGTTGGTTGATAGAAAACATGCAAAATCCTCTGAGAGGACCATCAATAGAAACATAATGTGAGTTACATAAATAATTCTGAATTTTTTAGTGGCAAAAAGAAGCAGGAGAAATTAATTTTAATGTTATTTCACCCAATATATTTTAAAAATTATCAATTTGTTATGTAATAAATATGAAGCAATATTAATAAGATATTTTTACTTTTTTTGTACTAAATCTTCTAATTCAGTGTGTATTTTACACTTAGAGCACATCTCAATTTGGTTGCTAAATTTCCATTGGAGATACTTGATCCATATTTAGATTTTATAAAATTTACAATTAAAAAAGTAGATTTATATACTCTAGTTGGTCCAATCATACTTAAACACTTTTTAAAATTAAGTCAGTTTTTAAAATTAAGAATAAATAAAACTTTAAAATTTAGTGACTCAATCGTACAAGCATTTCAAGTGCTCAAGAGCTGCACGTAGCTTGTGGCTTCTGTGTTGGGCAGTGTAGCCTCAGCATATACCCCTTCCTTGCAGGCACTTGCAGTCCAGTATATGCAATATTTACTTAGGTCTCTGTGCTAGCGTATTTTAGTCCTGTCCCATGATAACCATGTTAAAATTTGGTCTTTCCCATCTTTATCCACCATTGCTCATCTCCTTTGGTGGCCTCACCCTCACATAATTCAAGTCTGCTTTCTCTTGTTCCCACAGCTATCTGCCTGCACCCACCCCTTGTGACGCCTAGGGAGGCGGTGCCTTTGATAACAGTAGCCATATGACTTGTAGGATGGGAACAGAAAACAATCTGGCAGAAAGAGTGGGTTCATGAGGGGTTATGGTCACAATACATTTATAGGTGATTTGATGCACACCCCTTTCTTCTGGAATGCCTTTGACTTACAAGTGACTCTGGCCATCAAAAAGCTTGGCCACCCCTGCTTTTAAAAGCAAGTTTATCTTACAGACAAATGCTGCTTGATCTCACTTACATGTAGAATCTGAAAAAGTTGAACTCATAGATGCAGAGAGTAGAATGTTGGTTACCAGGGGCTGGGGAATGAGAGGATTGGGGAGATGTTGGTCAAAGGGTATAAAGTTTCAGTTAGGAGGGATAAGTTCAAGAGAGCCATTGTACAATATGATGACTATAGTTAATAATAATGTGTTGTATTCTTGAAAATTGCTAAGAGTAGATTTTAAGTGTTCTCACCACAGAAAAGTGATAAGCATGTGAGGTAATGCATATGTTAAGTAGCTCAATGTAGCCATTCCACAACATATACAGATTTCAAAACAACGTGTTATTTACAACAAATACATACAATTTTACTTGTCAATTATAATAATAATTTTTTTTATAAAAAGTTTATCTTACTAGAGTCTAATCATCAAAATTCTGGGTTTTCCTAGTAACTAGAAATGGGAATCTGTTTCTCCCATGGAAAAAAAAATGTCTTCGTAACTGAAAGTATAAGCGATAGTGTACACCATTCACTAGATTGAATTGAATGCATTGTTCCTGTGTGGTTTTTCAGGAATATTTGGGTAATTATTCATGCCATCTGTGCATAAATAGATATGTTTGCCTGTATCTCTCTTGCATGTGAAGCCTTGGGAGAGACTCCACTGCCCTTGAGGACGGGCAGATACCTCATCATTGTTATCCTATAACCTACCTTGGGGACCAGTACGTAGGACTCAGGGACACTGTATAATATTTTGCAAATATGAACTAAATGTGTTAGTGCCTCACCTCCACTGACACAGGCAGAGATGTCTCCATCCCTGGCTGCCCTCAGCCTTTGTTCTCCACTGGGGTGGAGGAGGGGTTGAGGTAAGGAGGATGCAGGTCTGGGCTGGTCTGTGAAACCCGACCCAGAGTAAATTTGGTTATTACACTCATCTTCTTAAGCTCCCTAACTTAAGCTAGTTGACGTTAGCTGCTGTGAACACAATGCTGCCAAACAGACAAGCAGGAGCCTGCCTGGCGCCCTCAACTATTTTATAATTGAACTGAGGTATGTGTCATAGCTTTCAAGGTGGCCAGTTTCCTTAAATGCACATACAATTATAACTCACACAAACACTTTTACTAACAAGCAAAGGAATTATTGGGATGAAGTAGAATTTCCCACCGGTCCCAAGAGATGTCCTGCTAAATAAATGTTCCACGATCAGATAAGCTGGAGAGACACCCTCGTGGCTCCTCTGTTTAGAGCCTCATCAGACACAGCAGCAAACTCAACGCCAAGAAAAGCCCTATTGTGAGGACACCCGTTTGGCTTGATTTACCAGGAGCAAACTAAACTTGGTTGATTTGGGACCCAGAAAACACTTGTGAACCACTTAAGAATGACTGCTCTCTGAACGTATTTGGGACATGCCTATTTTAAATAATCTACCTCCGGTCTTCATTAAGTTCTTCTTAGTTAAATTTTTTTGGAAGGACATCAAGGCTAACCAGATACAAAGATACTTCAAAAAGTTGTGGAAAAATAGAATTAAAAGATGATATGAATCTTTCCATGAACTTTTTGAAATATCCTCATATGCAAAGTAGCTTGTGGCTTATGCAATGTCTGAAAATAATCAACTTCTGGACTTTAGTCCTGTATACATGCTTGTCCCAGTAATGTTAAATTTGTAATGTTTTAATAGATTTATAATTCTTAATAAAGTTAAAAGAAACTAAATATGCTGATTTTTAGAAATATAAACCTACTAATTATATTTTTATTGTAGACAAGTATCTTAACTCCATCATTCCATACAACAGAGCTTTTTTAGATTGTGACCGTGTTAAAAACTAAACCGAACCACTAAAACTAACTTGCATTCATTCATTTGGCCATCAGTTAAGTCGGTCAATAAATATTTCTTAAGCGCCTAACAGATGCCATGAACTAAGGCACTAGGAATATACAAATGAAAACTACAAAGAATAGTCCTTGCCCAGAGAGAGCTAACACTATAAAGGAGAAGACTGACATTAAGCAGGTAGTAACGGTAGAGAGGAAGTATTCAGAGATCTGAGAATAAATTCCAGGAGGCTCTACCTACCCATCTCTAAGTTCAAATCTCAGCAAATGAGAAAGAACATAAAGAACAAAGAGCCCATACTTCATCCAAAATGACGATATCTTTATTACATAGGAGACGCAGCCCAAATAACTGTTTATAGCGTTGCCAATAAAATCAATGGCCTAAATGTGAAATTAATTGGAAGCCACAGTTCTAATACACGGTTTTGGCGACTGAGCACATTAGATTGAATTGTTTCAGAAGGCCTAATTATCGTGTCTGCCACACTCATCTATTCAAGTCCCTCCTAACTTTTGGACTGCTGCCTAGATCATCCTGCAATACGGTTTCGGTTGAGTATTCTTTTTATTTTATTTTTTTAATGTATAACTTTCTTCACACTACTCAAAGCTCTAAGCTGCACTTTTGCAAATTCTACATAAGAAGAGCTGAAGTGTTTGTTGAAGTGTTGATTTTATTGAGTTTGGGTGCAAGTTGATATTTTATTTGTGTTTTGCAGGTTCATGATTTGAAAGTGCCTGTGTGAAGTCACTTTTGCTGCAGACTTCAGCTTGGGAGCTCTTTCTGTGTTCACATCTTGTTTTTCTCTCAAATACATTTCACCCTGACCTTATGAGTGGATGAAGATACCTCAGTTGTCTGGTTTTGTCAATTGCTTAATTTCAGAATTGAAAAAGAAGGAAGAAAAACAATTCTGCTAAAATATGAACATCTGAGTGGCTTATGTTTGAGCACCATCAATAGCTGTGAGTGTCAGAACTAAATATTCTCCCAAGGAGTGCCATGATATTGGAGTCAATTTATTAAAAACAGTTGTATCTGCAAAACAGTGAAGAGACTCAGACGTTTATAGCCAGAGATGACACTGAGCATGCTTTTATTGCGGCCCGCAGTCTTCAAGTGGAACATATTGATTGATGAGTGACTGCCTGCCAATAAACTCTCTCATCACTCTGCTTCCTGGACTGGACTTCATTAAGCGATTTATCACTTACCTTCAGACTTACATGTGGGAGTTTTCACAGCAGTAGTTTTGGAATCATTGGAACTTGGATTGATTTCATCATTCAACAGAAACTTAACAGAGTCCAAATTACTTTATCATCATGGCTTTGAACGTTACCCCAGTCAGAGACACGAAATGGCTGACGTTGGAAGTCTGCAGACAGTTTCAAAGAGGAACGTGCTCACGCTCTGATGAAGAATGCAAATTTGCTCACCCTCCAAAAAGTTGCCAGGTTGAAAATGGAAGAGTAATCGCCTGCTTTGATTCCCTAAAGGTAAGAGGATACATTTTATGTGTCATTTCAATGTCCCATTTGACTTCCAAACAGCATGCTTTTCCTTGCACTTCTACAGACATTTAACAATCACTTTTAGATTTCTGTTTTCTTGGTTTTGGTGACTATTGGGAGATTTTCACTCAACCTTTTTTCTTATCAGACATATATAAATTTGTCACATATTCATGTTTAAGTTAAAAATATATGATGGTGTATTCTGGTCTGACATGACATTCATGTACCCAAGAGTTTTAAATCAAAGTCTGGCTTGTGACAACTGAAGATAAATATTTTATTAATTTTTGTTCTTCTGGAGGTTATATAAAGGTGAAGATATCGAATGTGTCACTTTTATGTGCCAGTTACTCTGACTTATCTCTTGAAGAATTTTCTGTTCTTGTGGTTTCTCTCTTGATCAAGGGCTTCCTAAAATACTTCTTAATAGGTTTTTCATTCTCTTTGAAAATGTGTCATGGCTAAAAGAAGTTATTAAGTACAAACTCAACAATCAATACTTGTGAACCTACTATGTGTAAGTTATATAACAAAAGAAACAGATGTGATTCAGATGGTACCATTGATGAGCTCACTGTCTAGTAGAGAAATATGGCATATCAGCAAATATCTGTGATGCAAGAAGGGACACATGCTTTATGGGAGGAATAGAAGGACAGCTGGCTTCCAGCTGACTGTTTCAAGAACGTTTTTGTGGGCTGTGACACTTGAGTTGTATACTGAGTTGGGTAGAGTTTAGACTTGAAGAAATGGGGGGATTTAATGACAGATCTAGTTGGAGAAAGCAGAATGATTCAGCTCGTAATGCTTTGGGGTTTATTTAGCCCTAAAATTATGGTGCTGTGAATCCCAGATTATCTTGGACAATCTTAAGGGTATGATGATGTTTTTCAATAGCGATAAGACAAAGAGCTTAATGTTTACATCTGCGCAAGACTTCAGTAAGCTTACCAAACAGCATTAAAAAAAATTGATGATCAATGCTCTTAATACGTGATTTGAGAAATCATAGTGCTGTGAGTTTATAAAATAGTGTCCTTAGCCTATTCTGGGGTGTTGAAGGGTCTGGTTAGATCCTTCAGGAGAATTTCATCTTAAGTCAAAAATGTCCTATATGACTTATGAGTCAAAATTTATAAATAACTTACAAATATAAAAAACTTATAAATATGAGACTTCAAACCATATACTTAAGTATATCTGAAAGGGAAAATTTGTCTATACACAAAAGCAGAAGAATACATTTATAGCTCAACAGAAGTCTTTCAAGGGTAAAAAAATGTGACAAATTAGATCTATCTACATCAACGGCTACCCCTATTTTATTCCTTTTTTAAAATTATAAAGTGTTTATTACACTGGATTTTTACCTTTAAAATTATGAGTCACTTTGCCTAAACTGGAGATGAACAGATGGACAAATCACAATTCATATAAATTCTAACAGTATAAACCATTTGTATATTAGTATTTATTTTGTCTTAAGTCAAAAAAGTAAAGCAAGTTTGTATTTGTTTCTGATTATCACCAGTGGTAACGTTCACTATAAAAAGCAGTGTAGATTTAAAACTAGATCATAAGAGTTTCAAGATATGAAAACAGGTCAGAGACGAGAAACTAATTTTCCGGGTCATCCCCAATTCCTTCATTTTATTAATCAAGCCTTCTCTGGTCACCATTTTTGCAAGTTTCTTTATATTCTTTAAACTAATCAGAGAAATACGGGGAAAATATTCCCGACCTATTAAGTCCAAGTATTTTTTAAATATCAACAGGGCAACAGCTTCCAGATCCTTATAATTCATTATATCACTGGATTTACCAGGACCACAGTTGTTTGAGTCCAACCCACGGATAAAGGATCATGAATAATTAGGTTTAGGATAAAAACATGAACCAAGCCATGAGAATGTTGAACACTGTTCAAGTAAGAAGGAGTTTTAAAAACTATTTCCAGAAATGTCCAGTAGAGCCATTTTCAAGTTTTGAAGCACGATTATGTATTGTTATCCGTTCACTTTCAGAATTGTGAAATTTCAGTTCTTTTGAGTGTGGTATTATATATTTTCAAAGTTGTCAAACTGAAAAGAATGTGAAAAGAGCCCACAAGCACAAGAATAAGACAGCCCTGACTCTAAATACCTGCTTAACCACTTCCCAGCCTTGGGTGGATTATTTATGACATCTTATCTCTGTTCCTTCGTCAGTAAAATGAAGATATTCACCACTGAAACTGGCTAAAGGAGGTGAAGCCCCTAGCATTGTCTGGCATAAATCACCTTGCAAGGTTGTTGTAAGGATTACACACACTCACAACAGGACTGACAAATTAGTAGCTAAAAAGAAAAAATGATGATGATCATTATGGAGCTATTTAGCATTATTTCATTTACTGTATTAAAAAGGCAGTGTTACTCAGTGGAACTGGCCTGTAGTGTGAAGAAAGGGCAAGGGCTTTGAAGCCAGATAGACGAGGGCTTGAATGAATTCTGGCTGCGACACAGGATAGCTCTGTCATTTCAGAAAAGTTCTTTTACCTCCTTGACTTCAGTTTCCTCTTGAATAAAACTGACATCATAATTCCCCCTTCATAAGGGTACGGCAAGGACTACCTGCCTGTGATATCCCACGCACTTAGCCCAGGGCTGAACACGTTAGGAACTGACAATGTTAGTTTCCTTCCCTTAGTAATAAAGTATCCCAGGACAGCCTCTGGTTTTGATGACTGCCTTTAAAGGCAAGATGTGTGCACCTCTTAACAATCAACTGTGTGAGCGATAATACCTTAGTCATACAAATTAGTCACCAAGTTAAAAGAAATAAGATTTGAGGCAGACATCGTTTTTGTTGCTATTCATTATAAGATATTTTCTGCAAACTCTATGGGGTATATATTTATATTCATAACTGTGAAAGGAATCTATGTTGGCCTGTCAGTATAGGCGGGACTCAATTGTGAGCCTTTTTTGTTGTTGTTATAAGTTATTTGTATATATGAGGAAACTTTCTGCAAGTACATACTAAAACAGAATTGTGGGTCTTTGGAAAGAGATTTGCCGAGGTCTTTGGAAAGAGAGTTGTACACAAGTAAATGGTTTTATAAAAGATGTTTTAGAAAATATGGCAGAGTTCCTACAGTGACATTTGTCCATTATTCACAACTGTTACCTTGTTGCATTTTGTGTGAATCACTGGGCATGCAAGCAGCTTTGATTTTGTGTGTGTGTGTGTGTGTGTGTGTGTGTGTGTGTGTGTGTGGAAGTTTCAGTATTATTATGAACAATAGACATTATTTAACTATTTTCCTAAAGGCCTGGTTACATTTCAGAACACTGTGTTCCACAAATTAGGTTAACTCGACAAGATGCAAATTGCTTCATGAGCCATCAACTCCCCTGCAGCAAAGGCCTTCACCAAGTTACCCTCCTCTCTGATATCTCTAAGATCCATAAAGATTTTTCCCTTACAGTTAAGATGTCTGAAATTTTTTTTCCAGTTCTTTTTCCTATAACTAATAGGAATTAATGTAGACTATTTTGCAAATGGAAACATTCAGAAAGGAATACATGAATTAATTTTATACTTATTGAGACCAAAGGTTTCAGTATTTACCACTTTCATCAAGTATTTATTTATCATCAAGTATTTATTTGCTTAAACATTTGAATTCAGGGGCCAGCCCGGTGGTGCACTGCTACAGTGCGCCGCTTAGGAAGCGCGGCGGCGCTCCCGCCCGAGGGTTCGGATCCCACATACAGACCGGTTCCCGCTCACTGGCTGAGCGAGGTGCGGGGGCAACACCGAGGGTTGCAATCCTGTTGCCGGTCCCCGGTCCGGTACGGGAGCAACACTGAGGGTTGCGATCCGTTGCCGGACACAGAAAAAGACAAAAGACAAAAAAAAAAAAAAAAAAAAAAAAAAAAAAAAAAAAAAAAAAAAAAA